TCTGCCGTCGACTCCGGAACTCCACCACAGCGAGAGGCGGAAGTGGAGTCGGCGGGGAAGCGGCAGCGGTTGACTCGCCGCCGTCTTCACAGCCAGGTAAGTCAACCTAAAATACGCAACTTCAGCTACGTTATTCGCGTAGCTGAAGTTGCGTGTCTTAGGTCGACCCCCCCACCCCCCGTAGTGTAGACCTAGCCTGAGAATTAACATGGCTCCTGCACTCCAGAGAGACACAAGAGACAGAATACACAGAAAGCCTTGCTAACTTGTAAGACAAAAACAACCTCTTCGGGAATATAAGGAACAGAGAGAGACTCCATCTTTATCTTTCACCTAGGAAGACAGGGAAACTGGAACCTTGTACTTCTGTGGAAGGTCCTGACTGAAAGAAAGTCAGACATGACTAGAAAGAAGAAAGTTTGGTAGGAAATCTTCCTTGAACAAAGACTATAGCTTATTAAATTAAGTCTTAGCCATTAGATAGACGTGCTGGCTGCACTTCCCGCAGCTCCCATTGTCCAGAAACTGCAAACCGTGGCCACTGGGAGCTGCGGGGGACCATGACTGCGGATGGTCAACATCCGCAAAATGTCTCGCGGCCCGCAATCAGCTTACCCTGATGGCCCATGTGCCGCAGGTTGCCCTCCACTGCTCTACATTACACCATATGGGAGTGTCTCACACTGTATGAAACTGCGTAGTCTTAAGGATGGTGAGGCCATCAGGAATAAGATTGTGAATTATTTCATAAATACATTTTTTCCTCAAAAGGAAACAGAAATAAAGTCCTAGTTTTCTCGCATTTTTAAATGTCCACCTTAATGGTGCAATTACTGTGTGTATCTTGTTGTGAACATTCTAGCATTGTTTCACTAGTCCTGTGCAACAAAAACACAATCTGTATGTGCCAGGAACATCTAAACAAAATTCAAGCTATTTACATTTTTGGTTAAAACATAACATCAATTTCTGTACTTGGATCACTGAATGCTATTTTTCAAAGTCCATTTACAGTAGCATACAGCTAGGACTCAATCCTGAGCCCAAAACCAAAGCCAAAGAAAAAGACTTTGCTATAGAGGTGGAATTTTAACCCCTAATTTGGAAGCAAGGCAAAGATGGAGCACATGCATAATTGGGCCACATCCAAATACTGATAGACATTTGAGATGGAGGGGCTTGAGGGTAATAGATACAACTACTGCTTCTGTGCTATGCAGGTTTTGTGCCATTTGGCCTCATACCAGTCATTGACCCACTGACCATGCCTCTGAAAACCAACATCCCCGACTCCACAGAGAGTCATGAATGTTTCAGAGGTGTACAAGTGGCTGTGGAGCATCCTTGCACAGGGCGTCTACTGCTTTGAAATCCCATATACTCACACATACTACTTTTAAGGTGCAAGAGGCCTTTACATGCCTGTGTGAGGCATTTCAAGACTAGGTCTTCTATAAATTAAGTTCCTGATTGGAAAAATAATTCATATATTTCAATGTCTTGGGAACAAAGCCTATAGATTCCTGGTCAGGACTTTGGAACTACAACAAAAAATGACTCATCTCCCTTCCTGGGTTTGTCCTGGATCTAATTATGCCATAAAGTACACCCAAGTAACTCCCTTTGAAGTCAATGGAAGTTGTGTTTATGGGATGACAGAGTCCTGGAAGTTTCATGAATAAACACTCGATGTGTGAATACTCAATCAAAGCAGACATGATCAATATAGCTCAGTTATCCTCTGAGTTGCAATGTCTAGATTTATGGAGCTCCTTATAACTGAGAATGTGATATCTGTGTATCCATAGCATATATGTGACCCATTATCATGCTTTCATGGAGTTCTCTTAGATACATTTCCAGTATACACTTAATGACTTCAATTCTGAAAAAGGAATAACATGAGGCTAAAAAATCTGAGTGCGATACAAAACCTGTATTGGGCACGCTAGGATTCAATGGAGATAAGGAGGTGGATAGGTACTAGTCTTGACTGGCAGTCACTCCAAAAGTTGTTCGGTTTTGTCTTTTTCTTCCTTCTGATTTTGTTAGCTGTGTGTGCAAGATTGTTACAGGGTTGGGAAGGGAAGTGCCTGGTATTGTTTCATCCTGCTTCTAGTATTCTTACAATGGTTACTGCAGTTTTTCCTGGCTCTCTGTACTGCGGAATGATTCATACTAGTATAGGGGCAAAAGCTACTTTCTTAAACTGGAGAGGCCACCTTTTATGCATTATAATGGGCAGTGCAGGTAATTAACACTTGCAAATAAATGCAAGATGTTTGTTCATTTCTATTTGACATATCTCACAGTTAACTTTCAGCTCTGAATAGTAACAACCTTTTTTACCATGTTATGGATGCATGTATGGATAGGAGTCAGGATTTGGCCAAACACGCCTATAAAATGTCCTCAACTTAAAGTAGCTCTTTGCCAAAATGTAAGAAAGAAAGCTTTTGGGGAAACTGCCCATTTCATCTGGCTTCAGTGCCATTGACACAGCTATGGTCAAGCTTCCCTTTGTTGGACACTCATCAGGCTGCTGTGTTTGGATCCCAACACTATATCCATGTGCTTTTAACTTGCACTGGATCTGAGTAGGCTCCAGGCACTATCTCTTTCTTCAGCTGCTAGGCTCACTCCCTTGACATAGACTCTCTGTCTGGCACCGCACTTTGGAAGTGGGACCCTACAGTCCAGTTGTCCTGGACCCAAGACTCTTCAGTAGCTTAAGCTCAACTTCTCCAGAGCGCCATCTTCATGCGGTACTCTGGTTCACAGTTTACCCTTTCATATGATAGTTGAAGCAAATAACACAGACTATGTAGAGCAGGGGTTCCCAAACTTGGTTCGCGGCTTGTTCAGGGTAAGCACCTGGCGGGCCGCGAGACACTTTGTTTAACTGAGCGTCCACAGGTACGGCCGCTCACAGTTCCTAGTGGCCGCAATTCACCATTCCCGGGCAATGGGTGCTGCGAACGGCCATACCTGCGGATGCTCAGGTAAACAAAGCGTCTCGCGGCCTGCCAGGCACTTACCCTGAACAAGCTGTGAACCAAGTTTGGGAACCCCTGATGTAGAGGGATTTGTAAACCAATCACTCTTTATGTTAGACAGCACAAGAGATATACAGAGATGCAAAAAAAGGAACACTTATATGCCATTCCCTGCCACAATTTTCTCACTACTCCTGAGCATTCTTTGGCATTTGGACATAGACCTTTCAGGGTTCCAGGTCCCTTCTCCTGGTCCTCACTTTTCCAGTTCAGGCTTGTCCTCTGGATCATGGCATCTCTTCTGTGACCCCAGAGCCAGCTCCCTTTAGCTTCAGTTGGTGCAGTAATCAAAATGTCCTTGCTTGAGAAGCATGCCCCTTGGTTTCTCAACTTTTCAGTTTTTGAAAGCCACTTTTAACACCTGGTTTCTTTATTTCCCTCTGGGGAGTTTCCACTCCTCTAACCCCCTCTCCCTGCAGACCACCTGGAATAAATGGATTCTTCTAGCTCAGGCACCTTCTTTAGCATAGTCACTGTCATGACAGAGAACAGTTGTTACATATTAATGACTTCTTCTGTTTGTTCTGTAGCTTCTTCCAAACAGGGTGTGTGATATGTGGTACAGTCCTTGTCAGCCCATGTCTGATTACTACACATTGAAGATTGGAATTATACATAGAGTTAATAAAATCTATCAAAATTTGAAAATTGTACATAGACAGGTTATCCAAACCATCATGACCTTAATATTCATGCCTTGATAAAATCAAGACATGTCAGGATTCAGCTAGATGTCTGTTGCCATTGAGCTTCATTTGAAGTTCTTGAAGAAGATTGCACATAGATGAAATCCATCATTAGGATATATATCCATATTCACATTTTTCATAAAACTAGCTATAATTTTGTCCCATTTCTTGTTAGTGTTTTTGTAAATAAGATCTTTTATTTTGGAATCACATAAGAAACCATATGGAATTGTGAATAAAAATGCAGGGAAAAAACTCATCCTGATTAATTGGGTTAGAAGGAATTCAAATCACTGGGCCAAGCTACAAAAAGGTAGGAAATTGTCACCTACTCCCTGTGCCACATAAGCCCCTTTCATCAACTTGAGGGCAGGGTTCTGCCTTCCCTTAATTTTTGCAGAGGGGACAGGCTTTAACATCTACCTGAAATTGTGCATTCTCTGCTGCCCAGGTCACTCCCCTTCTTCAGCATACACTGTCCATTCTTTATACTGTACCAGCCCCAATATCCTCTCCCTGAAATGTGTCACCATAACTACAGCCCTTCGTAGATTATGTGCCACTGGGCTTCTCCCCCTGGGTTGGTGCCAGCAGACCTCCACAATTTCCAGCCACCCTTGAGCAGTTAGCATATGCTATTAATATTCTATTTATTTCAGATGTGTACAGCAGAGGGAGCTAGTCTTGGTTTTGGAGCAGAATGAATTTAATCAATGACTCACTGAATAAAATATGTTGGCTAAATGATTTGCCAAACACTGTTAAGCCATCTATACAGCTGATTGAGTGATAGAGGAAAACTATTTGTCAATAATGTATTTAATGAAAATATCTAAATAATTCAACTAATTCTAACTATAATACTGAATTGATCATATAATTGATAGAACTTCTTATTAGTAAATAACTATTGAAATAAATTTGAGTATTGATATTTAAAGGATCACATTTATGAAAAATTAACATGACATGTACTATAAGAGGACGCAGATAAAACTACCAGATATATTGTGGGAGAAGATACTCTGAGGTGCATAATTGATAATTCTTACACTACATGTTGGTAGGAAGTTGTGACTCCCATGGGTGTTGTTAATCCTCAACATCTCATCCATATAATAAATGGATTTGGAATTTTGTTTAAGTATTGTTCCTATTTGGAGTACATAGGCTTGGTTTACTGCTGTGTGTTCTAAATGCTAGTGTAGTAGGTATTCAGACTGGCAGTGTAATCAGAATTTTTGTTCCTCTACAGAGTGACTGTGGGAGCTTTCAGCCTTTGTGTGAAAGCACCACATTTTTGTTTTCATCCTACAGAAGATGACAGGAAGGAGGAGGATGACTTAATGATCCAGTGAGTATAAGCCACATTGTTTTAAAATATGTTTAAAATATTAAACAGTTTTCCAGAGACATCCTGACTGAAGAACAACACTTGTACAGTCAGAATGGTTAAATTACAAAGTGAAAACAGGTACATCAGTAATAAGGACTCAGTGCATTACTGATGGAAAGTTCCTAATAAAATTTTTCTCACTGTCACACTAAAAATCCAGTCACAAAGTTAATTAATAGGAGATAGCACCTTTTGATCCTGAAGCCTCTAAAAAGTCTAACAAAATTCTGACTTTTCCTATTGCTGAAGTGTGGCCATTGCTTGAATGAAATATGGCAGCAGTGTTATATCTATGGACTTGTCTAGATCAACATTTAATGCGCAGCAAGCTAGGGTGTAAATCTGCAGTACAATAGCAGGGCGTTCACTATCTCTCTGTGTGGACCAAGCTTCACACACTAAAAGTTCTGAAACAGGAGTAGGTCAATGCGCGCTAGGGAAATTTTAATGCACAGCAGTAGGGTCCACATGGACAGTTGGTTGCACGGAATGCTAATGTGCTATAAATTGACACATCAGCTGACCCTAGCAGTTTATCTAGACTAGCCTTCAGAAAAACAATTTAGAACAGTAAATGAAGAAGAATACTGTATCCGGTTGAAACTGCAGGGAGAAATTTAGGTGTGCAAAATGTAAGTACCCAGATTGGAATTTGACAAGAATTTGGTCATAGTTAACACCTTTATTCTTACCAAAAAGTGCCATGGGATGTTCAATGACCAGATTTGTTCAGGATTTTGGCTTTATATCACATGTCAAGGATGAATGAGAAGAAAGAGCACAAGAATCACTTCCTTATCTTGAAAATACTGATCTCGGGAGGTTGCAAACAGCATCCCACTAGACACTCTTCATCACAACGCAGAATTGCAGAATTCAAATGGAGGGTTTCCCTTAACCCGATGCAAAGTTCTTATTCATAATGTTTGGCAGCATAAGGAAAGGGATTTTTTTATCTAAACATGGTGGTTTTTTTAACTGTGAGAACTCTACATAGCCATTTTATGAATGCACTTTGCATAGGTATTCTGCAATATTTTAATCTGGCTGTTTCAAACTAAGAGTACATTCTGTTCTGTTACAAGAATGGATACCTTCAAAAAGATTTTTTTTGGATTCTGTCCACTTCATGTGGTACAGCTATGACCTTATCTTCCTGTTCTTTGGACCATTACTTTAGCTTGGATACCCAAAACCCTGAATGGTGAGTACAAAATAGCTTCTCTTCTTTTTACTTCCCTCAGTTTTGCAACTTAATATGCAACATTAGTTAGCCCTGTAAACGTTTCTCCAGGTTTTTTTTTTAAAGCATTCAGTCCATTGCCTACTTATTGTTAGAAGTCTTTAAAGACATCCAAGTACTAACAATTTAGCAGCAAACAAATGCAAAATAAGAGAACCTACTTTACATGTAGCCAGAGGAAAACTTCAAACCAAAGGAAAAGGAGAAAAAAAGAAATATTTGTTCAAGGTTCTTTAAATTTAATTGTGAACGTGACAGTTCTAGCAATGGTATTTCCTGCATTTTCACACAATTCCCTCATTACAGTTGGACCAGTTTATATATTTATGTGAAATTAGAGTTCACAGTTTTTATTAATGCCTTAATCATGTTACCCAGATACTAAAGTCACAGCCTTTGTGGCTTCTTATTCCATCCTCTTACAGAAAGGTGAGTTCAGACATAAATAAAATAAATCCAGTTTCTCAGACATGTTTCATGCTATAGAACTGTTTATTGTCCTATTTATGCCCCTGAGGTTAGTTAGAGGGCTATAGAGCCAGGCTTAGAATTTTGGGGTGGGCCCATAAAACAATGTTTACACTCCTGCTCTTCCTCTCCTGTCCTGTAAATAGTTCCTGTCCATCATGACCACCCTGGTCTGTGCAATGAGTGTTTGAGAATTTGAGGGAAGCTCAGTGAGATTTTTTTTTAGGGAGAATTTTGAAGCTTTGCTGGCTTGTTTTATATAAAAAGGGCTCGGAAATCAGAATACCATCACTATCCTCCCACTGCAGGAGAAGTGGGGCCCAGGTTATTGTGCTGGGATCTACGCAGCACTCTCAACAATTAGAAGACACTTTCAAGGAACAATTTAACAAATAAGCTTCAGGTATGGAGGCCAATAATTTATACCACTGTGTGCCAGCCTTTCTGAATTTCCAGAGTGATTCTAATTCCTTCTATGAACTCGGCACTCTTGTTGCTCATAATAAATTACAAGTAGGGTGATTTGTCTCTCTGGGTCTTTTAGTCACAAGTCCCCAGGTCATCCTCCTACTTATATAGACACTAATAAAAATTTAGCACCAGTAGGGCTAAGCCTTTAACAAACTTATGGTTTGTTTTATGCAAAGTGAGCATGAGGATGTCTTTTGTTCTAAGTTTTGTGCTTAGACCACGAATCCACACTATTGAGCTACCTACTCATGTTGGCCACTCAATAGAGAAGCCAACTCAGCTGACTGCGAACTCCTAGAGTTATTGAAGTCAATGGCAACATTCTCATTGGCTTCGGTAGTGCTAGGATATCACCTCTAGTGTTGAAGATGGATTTGTGGGGGCCTTCTTTAGCGATGGCCCTGGAGGCACTGTGACTTGGTTTGGGATCTCCCATAGAGCTGAGGAATACGAGGGAGATTTTCAAAGGTCCAAATGGAAATGGGGCACCCAATCTCCATTGATTTTCAATGGGAGTTGACCACCTAAATGCCCTTTGTGCCTTTGAAAATTTCCCTGTAGATAGGTCCCAAAAGCAAATCCAACACTGATCATGAATAACCTGTAAGTTTCTGGAAAAAACATGATGACAAACTTTCAACCACAGTAACCATTTTACTTTGATTTACATTTTCTTTTGCAAAGTAAGAGCTAGCAACTTTTCTCAATAAATGAAAACTGAGTTTATCTCCAACACGTCTAGGTTTCTAAAATCAGGGAGAAGGAGGGGCAGAGACAGAGGCTTCATTGGCCCCAAAGACTATCTCTGGATGAGTAAAAAAAAGAAAGATCAGTCAGGAGGCTTTCTTGAGTCAGGCCTCCAATTAACACTCCAGGGAGAGCAGATCCTGTGCTGGGAGCAGGGCTGCAGCCACAGAGCCAGAGGGGCCAGAGAAGCAGCCCAAGGAGCTGGAGGCAGAGCAGCAGCATCAGTGCTGAGGCAGAGTGGAGCCAGAGCTAGTGCTGAGGCAGAGTGAGCTCCCAGAGGAGCTAGAACAGTGGGGCTGGAGCTGGAGCAGTCTGGAGCTGGGTGCAGTGAGCAACTGGGGCTAGCCAAGGGGGGGACCCTGGGCAAAGGGCCCAGCGCAGAAAGACACCCCCAACCAATGGTCCTTGCAGGCCAGACTGGGAGGGGGATCTTAACCCGATGAGGGGCTGACGCTGGGAAGAAGGGTCCCACCACCCAAAGCCCAGAGGTGTGTGGCCACCACCAGAGCAAGTGTCCAACCCATAGCATCCCTGCAGCACAGCCAGGGTCTGAGAAGGAGGCCTGGGACCTACAAGGAACAGACTGTGAACTGCTCTGACATTCCAGAGACACTGTTTGTAATGTTCTCTGCCACAGAGCGGGGTGATGTGTTTTCCTTTAACCTTTCCCATTTTTCCTTATTCTTTTTAAAATTAATTGCTGATTAAATAAATTGTATTTGCTTTAAATTGTATGTAATGATCAGTGGGTCAGAGAGGTGTCCAGTGCAGGGAGAGTATTCTGGAGTGGGTGACCACAGCAAGGTTGGGGGTTGAGCCCCCCAGGAATCTGGGCCCAGCCTTGTCGGGGTTTACGAGGACTCTGCCAGACAGGAGAGTGGAAGGGGAGTCCTCGAGGGCAGGGAGGCCTCTGGGTAAAGGAAGTTGGAGCAAGGACTCAGATCCTTCCGCTAGCCTATTTCACCGGGGTAGTGCAGAAGCCAGGAAAGATCCCCACAATAGCGAGACCATTCCCCCGCTTACAATTTGAAGACATCAAGAGATAGAGGATCTACCACTTTCCTTGGTACTTTGTTCCAATGGTTAATCACCCTCACTATTACAAATTTGTGCCTTATTTCCAATTAGAATTTGTTTGGGTTCAGCTTCCAGCCCTTAGTTCTTGTTATGTCTTTTTTTTGCTATATTCAAGAGCCTTTTGGAGTTACTTATACACTGTAATCAAGTCATCTTCTTTTTGATAAGCTAAACAGATTGAGCTCTTCAGGTTTCTCACTGTACAGCAATTTCTCCAGCCCTCGAATAATTTGTGTGGCTCTTTTCTGACTCCTCTATAATTTTTCAACATCCTTTTTAAAAAATGGACACCAGAACTATGTAGTATTCCATTATCAGTCTCACCTATGGGGTATACAGAGGTAAAAACACCACCTTGCTCCTGCTCATTATTCCCCTATTTGTACATCCAAGGACTGCATTAGCCCTTTTAGTCACAGCATTGCACTGAGAGCTCATGTGCAGTTGCATGTCCACTTGGACTCCTACCTCCTTTTCAGAATTACTGCTTTCCAGGATACAGTTCCCCATTCTGTAGGCATGGTCTGTATTTCTTGTTCCTAGATGTGTAACTTTATATTTGGCTCCATAAAAACATTTTTCTTTGAATGTGACCAGTTTACCAAGCGATCCAGATAGCTCTGTACAGATGTCCTGTTCTCATCATCAGTTACCATTCCTCCATTCTTTGTGTCATCTGCAAAGTTCATAAGCAGTAATTTTATATTTACTTCCAGATCATTGATGAAAATGTTGAACATTGTATCAAACTCTGAGGTACCTTTCTGAAAACCATTCGATAATGCTTCCCCAGTGACAACTACTTTTTGAGATCTGTCGGGTAACCAGTTCTTAATCCATATACTGTGTGCTTTATTGGTATTGTATTATGCTAATTTTAGTGATAATGTCCTGTATTACTAAATCGAACACTTTACACAAATCTAAATGTATAACATTTATGCAGTTATGT